AATAAAATGTATCACAATGATAATATCATCAGTGAAAGTGCCATTTGTGTGTAAAAAATGTAATACAATGACACTTTCACTGATGATATCATCGTTGTGATACATTTTACTGTTTAAAAAAAAAATAACAGTACATCCCATGTACAGGTTTTATGGTATCTTGGAAAGTTACAGGGTTAACTATAAGGCTTGCAAATTAAATTCTCTGCACTTTCTGCCTGTATTTGTTTTGTGCAGCACCATAAGCACTATGTTTGGAGAGGGGTCAACAAGGCCTATAGTGAAAAGAATACAATCCCCAATGTGAACCATGGTGGTGGCTCACTGATATTTTTGGGGGGTGTGAGCTATAAAGCCACAGGGAATTTAGTGAAAGATTGATGGCAAGATGAATGCAGCATTATCAGAAAATACTGGCAGACAATTTACATTCTTCTGAGCGAAGGCTGCGCATGGGATGCTCTTGGACTTTCCAGCATGACAATGACCCTAAGCACAAGGCCAAGTTGACCCTCCAATGGTTACAGCATAAAAAGGTGAAGGTTTTGGAGTAACCATCACAGTCTCCTGACCTAAAAATCATCAAGCCACTCTGGGGAGATCTCAAACATGACCGCAGGCATTTTGCCAAGATGAATGGGCAGCTATACCACCTACAAGAATTATGGGCCTCATAGACAACTATTACAAAAGACTCCAAGCTGTCATTGATGCTAAAGGGGGCAATAGCCTTAGTATTAAAAACCAAGGTTATGCAGACTTTTGAGCAGGGGCCATTTCATTTTTTTCTTTGTTGCCATGTTTTGTTTTATGATTGTGTCATTCTGTTAAAACCTACAGTTTTGTCTGCTCACTCATGTTTTCTTTAAAAATGGTACATATATTACCAGTTCTCCAAGGGTATGCGAACTTTTGAGCACAATTATACATATATAAAATTAACGTCATTCTAAGTTTTTTTTTATATATATACATATATATAAAATTATATATATATAAAATTATATATATTAATATTAAAATACACTTAGAATGATAGTGTATGTGTTTGTATATATAAAAGTGCTTAGATTTATTTATTTATTTATTCATAAAATATTTTACCAGGAAAGATTTGACTGTGTCTGTGAGGTTATTCCATAATTGCGGTGCTCTGTAGAAAAATGAGGATTGAGCCACTTTATTTTTATATAGCCGTATGCTAAATAAAGTGCTTGTACTGGATCTGAGGTTATAGGAGGCCCAAACAGCTGGGGAGAGCATTCTACTCAGGTAGGGTGGAAGTTTTGCATTAAAGTTCTTATCCTCAAGTTTGGAAAGATGAAGAGTGTGCCAGGATTCCAGCGATAGCCAGTTTATCTCGTTTATCATGTCACAATGGTGGATCAAGTAGAAGAACAAATTACGCAATGTATTACGTTTATGAAGGTGTGTTTGCGGTGCGGGTGCATACACTACATCCCCATAATCAATGACTGGCATTAGCATTTGTTGCATTTTCTGTTTCCTTACTGTAGGTCTTAGGCAGGATTTGTTTCTGTACAGGACACCTAGTTTTGGATAGAGTTTTGAAGAGAGTTTTTCAATGTGAAGGCCAAAGGATAGAGTGGGGTCTAGCAACATACCTAGATATTTGAAAGAACAGACTGCGGTCAGTGTGCTATTTGAATTTGTTCTGATACATAGTTGAGGATTTTGTAGTTTATGTAATTTGGGTACTGTTACAAAGATCATTGTGACAGTTTTGTCAGTGTTTAGGAAGAGTTTGTTATTAGCAATCCACTTTTGGAGCTGCAGTAGATTGGGTTTACTAGCATAGATTACAGTATCGTCTGCATACGTGTCTACAGTTAAGGCTTTGCAGGGTGAACACCACACGTGACCGGGAGAGGGAGGCCCTCTCAGAAATGGCCACATAATGTGATCGATCAGCTACATTTGATCAAAACCAGGTTAGTGGATGATCACTGATACCTAAGTTTTTAAGTTTTTGCAAAAGAATGCCATGGTCTACAGTGCCAAAGAAAATAGCCCCAGCTAAGTCTCTCTGTTCCATGTCAGTTTGGATGTCATTGCGAACCTTTAAGAGGGCAGTGTTCACATAGTTGCTTGTTAGCACATTTTCCCAAGAGTTTTGACAATACGTGGAGCAATAAAATCAGACGATAGTTAGATACCCAAGTATAGTCACCACTTTTATGGATAGGTACTACTCTTGAAGTCTTCCAAGGGTTGGGTATGTATCCAGACACTAGGGATTCCATGATTAGGGTATAGCAATTGCCAGTGCACTTAGCTTCAGCAACAATGCTGGGGTTTGTTTTGGTCCACACTGATTTTTTATTTTTAAATTATTAAAATATTTATTAATGACACAAACAGGCACATGTCTAAAATTGAATTTCTCTCTATGAGGATGTTGGAAATTTAGTAGGGCCTGATCTTAGTACTTTTATTGCATTAATAATAGAATTTTTCACAACTTTTCTTTTTAACTTTCAAAACTTTTTTTCAGGTATAGTGGGGACTGCCTGACATTGCAGGCAGTACCCCTGCTGGCAGAGCTGCAGACAGCCATTCCAGCCATTTGATCGCAAGGACCCCACTACCACATGGCCTGCAAGGGCCAAATCTGCTGCAGGGGGACTACCTGGGCTCTTAGGTAGTGGTAGGATCGCGACCTATGGCAGGGAATTGACAGGGACCCAGTAAGTACATAGGACGATGTTTAGGACTGGCCCCTTAACCCCTTAACCCCTTAAGGACACATGACATGTGTGACATGTCATGATTCCCTTTTATTCCAGAATTTAGTCCTTAAGGGGTTAAGAATGGCATAGAACGCCCCCCCTTCCTTAATGGGTTAATGACATGCTTGCACTGTATTTGCTTTTGAGTTGTTTCTGGTGTCTCCAGAGTACAAATGGCCACGAAAGCATATTGCACATGTGTTTGGAGGCTACTTGTGGATCACGTATGTGTAGAGTGAGCTGATTGCATTGTGAAGTTTTGTGTAAATAGCTTGGTTTCAGTCATGTTGTGTTTGGGGTGTAATATGTGTGGGTAGGGCCTGCAGAGAGTGAGAGAGTGTGTGTATATAGGAGGCATAGTGTGAAAAGAGGCTGTAATGAATGTGTGCATAGGTGATGTAATGTGTGTAGAGGTTGTAGAGAGTGTGTGTTTTGTGAATCTAGAGTGTGTGTTTGCGTACAGTGGATCTAGTGTATGCATAGGGAAATTCAGAGTGTGTATGCAAGGAATGTAGTGTGTGTGTAGGTGGTGCAATGTGTCTATAGGGGATTTATTGTCTATGTAGGGGATCTAGTGTGTGTTGAGGATCTAGTGTGTAGGTTATACAGAGAATGTATAGGAGATCAAGTGTGTGTGTAGAGGATCCAGAGTGTGTGTAGGGAATGAAGAGTGTGTTTAATGGATGTAGTATGCGTGTCTGGAATATAGTGTGTGTAGTTGGTAGAGAGGGGTGTAATGTGTGTGTGTGTGTGTGTGTGTGAGCGGTGCAGTGTGTTTGAGGGGTGAAATGTGTGAGTGATGCAGTGTGTGTGTGTGTGAGGGTTGCAGTGTGTGAGTCTGCAGTGTGTGTGTGAGGGGTGCAGTGTGTGTATGAGGGACACAGTGTGTGTGTATGACGGGTACAATGGTACAATGTATGTGTGTGTGGGGGTTGCAGTGTGTGAATATGTTGGGAGGTATATATATTTTGTGGGGTGGGGTGATGGGTGCATATATATATATATATATATATATATTTAGATTTATTAATACTAAACAAAAAAAATAAACAAAATAAATAAACTTCTTACCTTTGGCTCAGGAGGAGGACATTACAAACATTGGTGGTCTGGTGGTGAGTGGATTCTAGAGGGACATTCCTGGCGGGCGGAGCTGCTGTTTAGAGCCAACAGGTCCACCTCTCCAGATTGAAGTGCCTGTAGGCTAATGAGGGAGATGATTGATCTTCCCTGCCGGCCTTTGAAAGCATTTAGGAAGGCTGGCGCTTGAATCCTCTGATCTCCCCCTGTCAGCTTCAACCCATGGCTATCGTGGCCCACCGGGAATTTGCCTAGTTTGCCCAATGGCCAGTCCATGCCTGTACATATTCCATTGACTCTTTCTGAACATGGGTTTATGGGATAAAAGCAACAAAAAAAACATAGATCAGAATAAGAGCTACCCTAGAGAAGTCTGTCTGCTGCTTTTGCTTGAAGTAATTTAGACAAGCCAATAGGAATTTTGAAGCATGCTTTTTAATTTGTTCCCATTTTATTTACTTACATTTTTAAATTCGTTAACCATATGATGCATTAAAAAAAATGGGAGTCATTGGGGGGGCGTGGCCAACAGGGCCCAGGGGAAAATTGAGAAATAGAGCCACCAAACGTAGAGATTCCACACCAGAACAGCACCCCCCAATCACAGCGACAATGGAGCGCAAAAATAGAAAAAAATCACCATCCAGAGGCTTCCTGTCAGCTGGATATTCGGCTCTCCTTCGAGAGACCGCAACTGCAACAACAGTCCAAAATGGTGCCAGATCCACTTATGGAGACACCAGAGACAACTCAAAAGCAAATATAGTGCAAGCATTTCATTAACCCCTTAAGGAAGGGGTTGTTCTATGCCATCCTTAAGGGGCCAGTCCTAAACATCGTCCTATTTACTTACCGGGTCCCTGTCGATCCTCCGCCGTAGGTCGCAATCCTGGCACTACCTGAGAGCCCAGGTAGTCCCCCTGCAGCAGATTTGGCCCTCACAGGCCATGTGGGCGCGGGGTCCTAGCAATCACATGGCTGGAATGGCTGTCGGCAGCTCTGCCAACATGGGGAGAACAGCCACAGATGAGAAACTGGAGGGACTAACCACCCAGGTTCAACACTTCCACAGAGTGGTGACCACTTTAGAAAAATATAAGCCTCAGGGGCATAACTGAGCATATAAACACAGAGACACTGCCTATGTTTCTAAAAGAGTTGTTTTCAAACATGGACATTGCAGACACCCCTGAACAACCTATGATAAAGTCCACGTTCAGAGTGTGGAAATCAGCCACGGCGCCAAACGACGCATCCAGAGATATTATTGCGCTGACAAGAGATATTGCAGTGAGAACGGCGATTATGAATCGCTCACGGGAGATGGGGACCATGCAATGCAAGGGTCACGCTGTAGCTATATATGCGGACATTACGTTCTCGGTTCTGGTAGAGATGAGGAAGCTGGCCCCGATAGCTAGACGACTAAGAGACCACTCCATGAAATACTGCTGGGGAATTGATGGGTCCCTTTTGGTGGATAATGGAGAGGAGACCATTATGCTGACGTCTGAGAGACCCAGAACCTCTCCTGCAGGCACTGGGATTGTCTGGCGACCTACGAGGAGCTACCACAGAGACAACAACCAGAAACTGGGACAGTGAAAAGAGAGGCAACCACAAGTCTGTCCAACCACTGCAGATCACACACAAGAAAGTGCATCCACTGTCCAGAAACAGGGATGCCAGCCTCTGCACTTCAAGACCACTGAACAGTCCAAACGGTATCAGACGCCTTATTTGAGGCGCGTCAGATCAATATGGGCCAAGGTCTGGCAAACTGACCACCTCCCCCTCGGAGGCCTGGACTAGACTTGCCTAGCAAGGATTCCTTCATAACTGGGTTCCATATACCAAGTTTTCTTCAGCAGAAATGCCCGGTGCCCCCAAGTGCCAGCCCAATAACGTTATGCTACCAGTAGTTATGGTTATGTTATTTTTTTTTATTTTTTTTCTAATATGTTGGTTACTAAATACTTTTGTCCAAGTGTCGTATACAATGCACATGGCTTACAATGCTGTAATTAACTTAATAAAAAAATATAAATTTAAAAAAAAAAATGGGAGTCATTTACAGACTAATGTGACCCATTAAGGATTTTGTGAATGATTGTTCAGTTATAATAGATTACAGAGTGATTGTCTATTAATTCCAAATTGCACTTTAATTTGGACAATAACAATAATGTGAACAATAACTGAGTGTAATGCATACTTTTATTAACAAACTGTGTATCTGTCATATTAAAACAAGATAAATCAGAAATTCTGTGACATATATAATAATTTAAACTATAGATGTTGCAGAATTACTTAAAACAATAGCTTATTGAAGAATTCAAATCAATATTTATAGTACAGAATTCGAGCCAAGTCAAACTCCCACAAACATGGCAGCACACAGTTGTAACACCACTAGCGATCTAGAAAGTCAATGGGAAAGCTGCAGAAGTATTCCATCGAATTATCAGAAATAGATATGGGATTATTCAGTAAAATTTATTTAAAAAAAAAAGAAAATATAAATTTTTAGGCTAAAATAGGTGATTTGGGAACAATTTCCAATTTAGGTATAAGCACCGTTTGGCTGTTTTAGCCTGAATTTTTATTTCACAGGGGCATTGATAGATGGCAAAATGGACATGGGCTGCAACCCAGTTGCAATTTTTGTTTGGGCCTCTTCCACTCTATATTTGTTTCCTATTAAATCTATGCTTCTTGTATGTTAAGTTGTTAAACAGTTTTGCAGTTTGTAAATATATAACAGAAAGGATCAGTAGAGGGTTTTTTTGAAAATCTTCAATCCAAGGTTTTTTTTAGATGACAAGACTAAAAAATCAAGGGGGCTTTTCAAGGGTCTAGTTGTGGCTCGAGCCCAGGCCAGGTCTCCTATCCTATCATCAAAACCTCTGATTTGGACTTTTGTGAATATATTTTCAATGTATTTTTTTTTTGTAGGAAGATTTTCTACACCAAAGTCTGAAGGTATCTTTGGCCTTTGATACCATGTTCTTGTCAGTAGTGAAAAGGTCAACTTAAATGAACATGCATTGCTTGACAATTTAAAAAATTAAATAAAATTTAAACCCACGAACAAACACTTTTAAACAAATATACAAACCAAAATTAAGCAAGAAAAGTTTGAAAAGTATGTAATAAATGTTTATAAACTTACTATTAAATTATTTATACACAAAGCCACCAGGAAACCTGCAAAATTATGAAAGAATAGTGTAGCACTGTTTAGTGTATAAATCCTCTGCAAATGGAATTGCTTTCACATTAAACAGACTTATGTAAACAAACACATCAGGGTGCATCCTCTGAAGGTATTGGGAAGCCAAACTGTTCATTCCTATCAGAATATGAACTCCTGGGCGCTTAAAGGACTTCAGAAAAAAAATAATAATAATAAATTAAAATATATTTCTGTGGATCTTAAAAACACTTAAAAATACTGTGTGACAAACTCACTATTTCTTATATTCTAAGGACAGTTCCCTTCTAGTTCGGTTTATGAGTTTCCCCGAATACAAATAAGTGTTCTCAGTTCGGCAGCTATAATCATAATACTAACCAGAAACTTAAGTGCTCTCTCTGTGTGGCCACTGTTCGTATAACCGAACAACACGTGCTGTGGAAAACAGTGCCCATCTTGTCTCACAAACACAGGCTGCGGCACTTGGTTATCGAGTGTATGGAACTCCAAGTCTGATACATCTGCTTTACTCCTCAGTACGGCATTACGGGTATGACGTAACGTAACGACCGCATGCACGTTTCGTCGGAGGGAGAGGAGCTGGGGAAAGTGAGGATGTGAGGCCGTGATGTGGGTCAAAGCATTTGCTGAGAGTTTTCCAGCCCAGGTGATCTTGAGCGCAGTTGCTCCTTGTGTTCTGGAAAATGCTGACATTGATGCCACTTTGGCATTTGATGCCTAATACATACCTAATAGACACCCCTGGGGACCAGAAGAGTTAGGAAAAGCACCTGCAAAGTGGAAAGAGAAAGTGAAAAGGACGTAGGAGCCACTGGGACTTTTCTAAAACATAAAAGGTGGGATGAGAAGCATTTGAAGAAGTGCCTGAACAACTCGCTGGAAAAAAGAAGAAAGGTGGGTGTAGGGGAAGGTAGGGTCTGCTCCCGACATTAAACAGAGCAGTAAACAGCATGGTGACTTTCACTGGCACAGGGAGTTACTTAAGCGGGGGATGTATCAATGTCTATTCAGCAATTCAGCTCAATCAGCATACTTAGAAAGAATTGAGAGGAACTGTGAGCAAAGATAATCTTCATAGCCTCAATAATCAATCTAATAACCAATTGGATGAGTTTATTAAATAATCTGATAAGCACTATAAGCATTATAGGAGCAATATCTTTGTAATATTTCTGCTTGGTAGATACTGCTGTGTTGATATCGATTGCTACTAATTGCTACTGATTGCTACTAATTGAGCGCGCCAACTGTTTTTGGCATTATTTTATTAAGAAATAACCAATACAGTCGATCATGATGCAATTAGGGAGTATGGGACCGAAAAAGCCTAGGCAAGTTGTAGGATCTTCCTCCAGCCCCAAGCCGGCAATGCAAAAATCAACATTGCGGAGGTTCCTGACGGGACAGGCAGACCATGCCAAGACAAAAAAAACTCCTCCAGCAAGCAAGCAAGGGAGCCTGCTAGAAAGTCCACCAATCTTAGAGTGTCAGTGGAAGGATTAGACCTTAGAACAATCCTGACCCAATTACCTTCAAAGTCCGACCTCGTCATTATGTTTAAGAAAATGGAGGATAGCTTCAGTTAAACATTAAAAGCTGTTACCACAGAAATACAGCATTTGGGCAATAGAGTGCAGGAATTAGAAGAAGATGGGGAATCTGTAGATCACCAGTGGTCAGAGTTTTATACAACTCAACGCCTGCAACCTGAAGCTATCCTCTTCTTAAAGCGTAAACTAGATGATGTTGAAAATCGGGGGAGAAACTTAACAATTTGCGAATAGGAATTCCAGGAGTCCAAGATGGTATAGCTGGGGATCCTATGAAAGTACTTACCAGATTCTTCAATCAAATATTAGGAAGACCCCAGGACACCAACATTAATTTTGATAGGGCTCATAGAGCAGGGAGACCTAGAAATTTGACACAAAAGAAATCACAAGATTTTATCTGTTGCATACACAATTTTCAGTTGAAAGAAGAGATTTTTCATAAGGTAAGACAACTTCATGAATTACAATTTGAGGGCCATTCGATTGCCATATTTCAAGATCTCTCTACTACCACCTTAATGACTTGAAGAGCCCTGCGACCCATCACACAATAATTGACGGAGAAACAAATTAAATATCGTTGGATCTACCCGGTTGCGTTAGCAGTTATACAACAGGGGAAGACATTTAGTATATCTACTCCGGCAGATATACCAGATTTCCTACAGGCATTGGGGTTTCCATCTATCGAGATGGAGGACTGGACTGGGATTTCTCACTGCTTCAAGTCACTGAGCTCACAAAAACGTAGATGGCGTAGAAATTAGATAAACAGAAAGAATAAGCCATCCTCATTAGGAACTGAAAAACCCTCTTATTCAAGAGATAAGAACTTATGAAGATCTAGATATTAATGGAGGAAAAGTTACAAATAGATACACAAATATTTTATTTATATTATTCTTTGATATGAGGGGGTGAAGATAATTATGAGCCACTACCTGGGTTATATTAAGTATTATTACCCTTTGTTTGGGTTGGTGTAACTATGTATTATTTAGATGATGTACTGGGGTATATACGTCCCATTACTCCCGAATCAATTATAGGGTGTATTAGTAATTGAGTTTATGAGTTGGGAGGAGAGGTCAACTAGAACTATATATAATTATATATATACTATATTGTAATTAATTTCAACCCTTTAGATGTATTCCTGTGTTATTCTATCAAGCTTATTCCTTGTCTGCCTACATTTCTTCTCCTTTATGATCTACTCTCTAGAACATGGTATTATATAAGTTCTATCTTCTGCTCTCTATATGGCCCAAATTAGTCTTTTGTCTCCGAATGTTAGAGGCCTTAACTCCCCAGGAAAGCGATACATGCTAGCGCAGGAGCTAGATAGGCAAAAAAAGATGTTATGTTTAATCAAGAAACCCATGGTTCTGATGGTTCTGCCTATTTATAAAAGATTGCATGGGCATTTTAAAACATATATGACACCCTTTGAATAGCAAGTTAAATGATCTTTAATAGCATGCTTTTCCCCTATAGTATGGCTTATATCAGTGAGGTGTCTTTTATGGCTCTTTGTTTCCCTACATGGGAGGCAGTTCCCACATCCAAAAAACCCAAAAGGTCTTTAAAAAAATTATTTGGTTTCTCGGTTTCTAAACAATTCTTAACTAAAATATTTTTTAGATTTTTGTTTTCCCTGTAGATTAATCTGGTAATCTGTTAAATTAATTGTATTTAGAATGGGATTGTCTCTTAGGATATGCCAATGTTTCCTTATGGCCTGTAATACTTTCCTTGTGTTTCCATGATAATTGCAGATGAAAGGGATTTAATTTCCTCCTTGGGATTTATTCTTTTGTTTATATGTAAGA